CATCACCCCCAGGTCCCCAGGACCCAGTGACCTGGGCTGGAGACTGCCCTTGTGCCTGAGCCCAGTCTGAGCTGGTTTCCGTCTGGAAGCCCCGGTTGGGCCTGACGAGGTCTAATGATTCACATAGCAGCAGCCGCTCAGCACATTCCAACGCCAGTCTCCAGTGCCCACCACGTGAGGTGGCTGCCTCAAACCACCCTTCTGTCACCGAGGCATGTTTCTAGGACCCTTGTCCCCAGGAGTCACCCACCTCTCTCTAGACCTTCTTGCCCGTGGGTTCTACACATCTGCTCTCAATGTCTTTTGTTCTGCTTTACTCTTTTGCTTGTTTGGGTTTTGCTTTGTTTAAAGGCAGAGTGTTATTGATATGTAGCCCAGGCTGGCCGGAAATTTGGTACATAGCCTAGACTACCTTTAACTCCTGATCCCCCTCCTCTCCCTTGGCTCTCTCGGTGCTGGTACCGTTTGGTTTGAGATAGTTAATTGTTCCCTGTGTTGCCCAAACTGAATTTGAACTCCTGGTCTTCCTGCATCAGCCTTCCTTCCGAGTGGAGTGCTGGGATTAAGGCGAGTACCACTTCACCCAGCTTTCCAGTGTGCTACTAGGGCTCACAAACTAGAAAGGGGGGCAAGGAGCATGTTAATACATGGCCTGCTGGTGGGGAAAGCTGAGGCCTGAGAACAGAATGGATTAGCCAGGGCATATGGCAAGACCATGGCAAACAGCACAAACAGCTCTTCTAGGCATCCTGTCCCCAACCTGAGCTATTCTGAGGTATGCTATTCAAGGGCTATTCAAGGATGTATTGGCCATTCTGAGGCCAGGGTCACAGGGGGCCTGGAGTTCATTTGTATAGGTCATTGTACTGTTCCATCCAAAGTAAGAAGCTTCCGGCTAAGCATCGCTGCCACCCTGACCCTCCGACTCAGGACTCTCTCCCTTATCCTGATGTTCTTCACTTGGCCATGGAGCAGGAGCCTGGGGCCTGTTTTGCTTGATCTGTGCAACCCTGAGCTGAATCCCTCCCTACTCACGGCCCCAGTGTCCAATCTACCATTAACAGATGAGAGGCTTGAGCGCCAAAGTGATCCATTTTGGATACGGGGCAGAGTTTTGCATCTGGAAATCTGGCATTGAGGCTGGCCTGTGTTCCTCCAGCGGGCCTCAGCCCAAGGCTGTGAGGGGTGATTCTGGCCCTTAGCCTGGGTACAGGAAATCGTATTTTGGTCCTGGGTCCTGGGTAAGTAGGCAGGGGGAGAATGGCAGCTCAGACCCAACTATGTTTACTTGGGCTGGGCCCCCTCAGAGCTCAACAGGCTCCCATTCATTGGGAGCCCCATAAACCCTTTGGGGCTCCCTGAGGTTCAGAGTGCCTGGATGCCAAGCGTGGCTGCCTCCCCCAGACCCGCTTGGGACCAGCAGGGGGTATAAGGACCATGAGGGACTCAGGACTGAAGACAGTGAAGGAAGGCTTGGCCGTGCATAGGGCGTGGGAGTTCCTACCCCAGCCCTACCCAGAGGGCAGTTGGAAAGATTCATGGTGGTCAAGGGGGTTGGCTATTCCCTCAGCAGCTGTGGGGCCTTTGTGACCGTGACAGGCTTGTCTTAGGGTGGGTCCCTGAGGACAGTGCACTCCCTAAACTCCAGAGCACATCTTTGAGCTTTAAAGTCTGAGATGGCAGTGTCCCTTCTTCTTGACCTTCTTGTTGAGACCCTTGTGTCCTATTTTGGGTTGTTGACAAATTACGTCCCTTATCACCCTGAAGTAAAGGAGTCTTCCTGTCCCAGGCCTTCTCCTTAACTGCCAGCAAGGGGACTTTCTTCTTTTTTTCTTTTCTTTCTTTTCTTTTCTTTTCTTTTCTTTTTTTTTTTTTTTTTTTTTTTTTTTGAGACAGAAACACTGGGATCAGATCACCGAAGGACAAGGACCTGGGACCTGGGATCTGCTTACTCCCTTCTTGGACCTTTTGCCTCCAGTCCTTCATTTACACTTTATTTGGGCTTGTTAAGGTATTTCTGAATGGAAAGGAGGCAGCAGCGGGGCTTGATAAAAAGAATTAGGATTTGTGGCTCTACAGACTGCCTGACTCTCTCATGACTTTAAAATAACCCCACTTGGTCCAAAGGGCTTCTAGCTGCTGATGGGTTAGAGCGAACTCTGTCCCAAGTCCTTTCAGTCCTGCCTGTACTTCTCTGCTGGGAAACTTCAGGCTGGGGTGGGGGCGCGAGTGGAGGAAGAGGGAAGGAGAAAAATCTCCCACCTAGACCTCCTTTTAACAGTGCCCCCACATGCCCCTGGCAACCTATTCAGCCACCAGGGACCCTGCTTGGGGGGCAGAAGGGGGTCTTGCTTCCTAGCCGCCTTCCAGGTGGGGTGTGACTTCCCGCTTCAGTGGTTATAAAATGCCCAGAAGCCTGGTAGGTCCGTGTGTGTGTGTGTGTGTGTGTGTGTGTGTGTGTGTGTGTGTGTGAGGGGATGGGGGTGGCGGGGTCTGGGCCTTGGAATACCCTCCTCCCAGGCGTATTTGACACGTGTTTCCGCCTCTCCCGGCATGGGCTCCCGCAGTTGCTATTTATAACCTTTAAGAGCGCCTGCCGACTGCAAAGTTTTCTTAAACTCAAAATATCACTGAGGTCCTGGGCACGAGTTCCAGAGGCCTCGGGGCACTGTGGTTAGAAGGGAGGAGGGGGCCAAGGCAGGAGGAGGCATGAACATAGACCCTGGGTACTTGCTGGGGGCTGTGACAGGGACCTGGGTGAGGAACCCTAGTCTGGATACTCTGTCCTGCCTTTGGTCTGAGGGATCCTCTATGTGGGTGGTCCTTGGCCATGCTGGGCCATTTGATGTCTTCTAGGCCCTCTCTGGGACGTCTTCCTGTCATCCCAACTGCCTCAGTGGACACCATCTGAGTCAAGGCCCGGAACTGGCAAATCCTGGGGGCATCTCTGAGGCTGGGATCAGGGCTACATTTGCCTGTCTGGATCAGAGATGTGTCTGCCTGGCTGCCCAGCAGCAGAACCAGCGGCAAGCACCATGGACATTGGCTGAGCCTTCCAGAGAGAAGAAGCACTTTGAGAAAATTTATAAAACCTTGTGTGTGTGCAAGGAGGGGAGGGGGAGAGAGAGAGAGAGAGCGAGAGCGAGAGAGAGAGAGAGAGAGAGAGAGACTGCCTTGTAGATAGTTAATCATGGCTCAGATACCACCCTGAAGTTAAGGTTGGAGTCAGACATCAGCAGCAGGACCAGCTCCGGCCAGGGCAGGATACTGTCGGAAGGTACACACTGCAGGTTCTGCTTGCCCTGGCTAAGGTTGTGTTCCTGAGGTCCCTCAGCCTCCTGTGGTGTAGATGAAAAGCCTCCTTTCCCACTCAGTCCTGCACTTCTGCTAGAGGCCTCCC